AACTCTGGATTCTGATAGAGGGCCATGAGACTTAAACCTGAGTGCAAAAATGGAGGCTCTAGACCCTTCCAGAGCTGAGATATCGAAACTCAAATTTCGACCCGAAAAAAAAACGACAGTGGTACCCCTTTCGTTTTTTTTTTTTCGGGTGAGAAATTAAGGTTCTCCAATCTTCTCAAAACTCTGGATTCTGATAGAGGGTCATGAGACTTAGACCTAAGTGCAAAAATGGAGGCTCTAGACCCTTCCAGAGCTGAGATATTGAGATCCCACGTAGCATTTATGCCATTATAAATATCTCAATATCTCAGCTCTGGAAGGGTCTAGAGCCTCCATTTTGGCACTCAGGACTAAGTCTTTATATTATCTGCTTTATATGAAGTGTGACCAGGATCTGGTTTTGATGAGATTCACACACTGACTGCGGTGTGTGTGTGCGTGTGCACCTGCTGTCTGGTCTAGTACACAGTAGTGCAGTGCCAGATCAGTGCTCTGTGTAATAAGCCCAGCATTGTTTATGTGGATGAGTGCGTGTTGGCGCTGACTGTGTCCTTTTCACATCCGTTCCTTCACTCCTCCAACACCTGACTGCCAACACTCACTTCAGTTCCTAATATGAAGAAATGTTGTGATGGATCCGGGTCAATATCGGGATTCTGATAACACCTGGTTTGGCCTATACATCCTTTAACATTCCCAGTTATTTAAGCCTCTAAATGTGTGTGTTGTGTACCGTTATAACCGATCTTCAGGCAGTTTCATGGGATTTATGTAACACGTTGCCCCCCCCCTTTTTTTGTAGGGAAAGTGTTGGATATTTATAATGGCATAAATGCTAAGTGGGATCTCCATATCTCAGCTCTGGAAGGGTCTAGAACCTCCATTTTGGCACTCGGGTCTAAGTCCCATAGCCCTCTATCAGAATCCAGAGTTTTGAGAAGATTGGAGGAACTTATTTATTCGCCCGGGAAAAAAAAGACAGGGGTTACCAGTGTTTTTTGGGTCGAAATTTTTAGTTTCTGTGGTCTTCTTGAACCTCTGGATTCTGATAGAGGGCCATGAGACTTAAACCTGAGTGCAAAAATGGAGGCTCTAGACCCTTCCAGAGCTGAGATATCGAAACTCAAAAATTCGTCCCGAAAAAAAAACGACAGTGGTACCCCTTTCGATTTTTTTTTTCGGGCGAAAAATTAAGTTTCTCCAATCTTCTCAAAACTCTGGATTCTGATAGAGGGCCATGAGACTTAAACCTGACTGCAAAAATGGAGGCCCTAGACCCTTCCAGAGCTGAGATATCGAAATTTAAAAATTCGACCCAAAAAAAACGACAGTGGTACCCCTTTCGTTTTTTTTTTTCAGGCGAAAAATTAAATTTCTCCAATCTTCTCAAAACTCTGGATTCTGATAGAGGACCATGAGACTTAGACCTGTGTGCTAAAATGGAGGCCCTAGACCCTTCCAGAGCTGAGATATCAAAACTCAAAAATTCGACCCAAAAAAAACGACAGTGGTACCCCTTTCGTTTTTTTTTTTCAGGCGAAAATTTAAGTTTCTCCAATCTTCACAAAACTCTGGATTCTGATAGAGGGCCATGAGACTTAGACCTGAGTGCAAAAATGGAGGCTCTAGACCCTTCCAGAGCTGAGATATCGAAACTCAAAAATTCGACCCAAAAAAAAAACGACAGTGGTACTCTTTTCTTTATTTTTTTATTTCGGGCGAAAAATTAAGTTTCTCCAATCTTATCAAAACTCTGGATTCTGATAGAGGGCCATGAGACTTAAACCTGAGTGCAAAAATGGAGGCTCTAGACCCTTCCAGAGCTGAGATATCAAAACTCAAAAATTCGACCCAAAAAAAACGACAGTGGTACCCCTTTCGTGTTTTTTTCCGGGCGAAAAATTAAATTTCTCCAATCTTCTCAAAACTCTGGATTCTGATAGAGGGCCATGAGACTTAGACCTGAGTGCAAAAATGGAGGCTCTAGACCCTTCCAGAGCTGAGATATGGACATCCACGTAGCATTTATGCCAGTTTTAGGCCAGTTTTTTTATAAATGTGGAGAAGTATTTACTTAAAGCATTTTTATTTTGGGAGCTGGCTATAGGCAGAATCAAAAGATGAAATGGCAGTTGATTAATTTTTTTCTAGGTCAAGCAAAACTTGCTATACTTATCACAAGAAGAAATACAATTGAGAAAACACATGGTCAGGAGCTTTTGCCTGTTTTCAAAGCTTTTGTAAAATCTAGAATCACAATAGATTTTAGGTATTATAAAGCAATGAATGATGTGGTAACTTTTGTACAACAGTGGTGTTATAATGATGCTGTTTGTACAGTGGAGGAGGGAGGGTTGTTTTTTGATATTCTGTGGTGTTAATTTTTTTTGATGAATTGAATTGAAGTGATATGTAATAATGTTCTTTTATAAAATCAAAAAAATCTCTTTCTCTCTCTCTCTCCATCCTCTGCGCCTGATTCGACAAATGCAAACTATCCCACCGTCCATCTTTTGCTCACTGTGTGCACTATGATTTACTGTTATAGAAACGAGTGCTTATGAAAAAAAATGGTAGCAACACTGATCTATATAATGACTAGCTACATATACTATCTATATAATGTCATTCTACGTATATAGATCAGTGGGTAGCAAGCAGGCAGTAATTCCTGGTCACGTGTTATTAAGATAATTATGATAAGACTAACGGATATAATAGGTAGGCTACTAACCTGTATGGGAAAGAGGAAAATGAAAGCTCTGACCTGAGAAGAGAATTGACATCTGACAGAAAGATCAAAAGATGCTTTTATAGACATGTCCAATTTTGCAAAATCTCAGCATTACTTCCAGTTCACACTGGAACCCTCTATATATTCCATATTCTTGGTTTTACTAAAAAAAAAAAAAAAAAAAAAAATTAAACAATGCAAAATCTACGTAGGCTAAAAAAAACAACAACAGCCAATGGTGTTAGGAGGTGTGGCATTTATTGTTAGATGTAAGGAGAGATGTTCTGTGTTAGAGGTGTAAAATATCTGAGATATTTGGTTGCAACATGTGGAGCAAACATGAATATTCATGAGTTTCCTGTTTCATGCAGTTACCATGAATTCAAAATTTGCACTTCCATTTTTTATGGAATAATGCAGTATTTATTATAAATGAATTATCAGTGCACATTATAATTTTTTTTATTCACACGCCCTCATAATTTTTAATCAAAATCAATAACGATGGGCAAAGTTGAAAACACAGGGACTAAACACAGGATGAAACTGAACACAAACCCCCTTTATTGGAACGCAGTCAACTCGGGTGTGACGTCATTCCAAGCTACGAGGTAACAGCATTACATCCAGTACAGACAGGACTGCAGTTCTGGCTCCAGGACGGCCTGGGCCTCTGTCACACAAGCGCATATACACTGATTCAGGGTCTATGCTGAGCATGACGAGGGCCAGGGACACGGGGAGGTCTCTATAAGGACATCCAGGACAGATTTGGGGATGTTGAGATCAACACTGTGAATGGGATCCATTTAGCTGAAGTCCTGCACTCCATGTACACACAGAGGGTCCCTGGAGGACCAGCCCAAGCAGAGGAGATTTTCTATGTGCATTTAATCCAGCATGGAAAAATATTTGGATGTAGTCATCTGGGTGACATGTGATCTCACGTGTTCCTCAAGGGGACGATCCCCCTGAGTGAGGAGGATCTACTGCTGCTAGATGCATATCCATCTGTTCTTCTGTCAGAAGAGGGTTGCAAAACAGAATTAAGGCCAGGATCTATTAACTAAACACAGGAGATGAAAAATTGAACTCAAAGTAACTAAAAAACAACAAGATGTGACGCATTCAGAGTATGTTGCACATGTTTACACATGAGTGAAATGCTGGACTCATATTCATAAAACATGAGAAATTCAGGCCACCCCCTATTATTTTGAGAATAAACAAATAAAATGCAAGTATAGATTAAAAATTGGTATTAATGCCCCACATAAACTGCCTGCTGAGAGGTATTGCTGCTGAGGTGTAAATTTGCAGATGCCAAAATAAGTTAAACTTCTATAACTTTAACTTGACAATTAAAGGGGCTATATGCAAGAATTTTCATGTATTCATCGTTTTTTTGTTTTGTTGTTGTTTTTTGAAAAGCCTAAATTTAATCAGTTCAGAAAATGTGGACTAAACCACCCAATATGGATTCGTTTTACGATCTCTTTATGAACTTTTTGAAGCGTCAAAGTGGTAGTTGAGTAGCTGTCAATGGAGGGACAGAAAACTTAGATTTGATTAAAAAAAATCTTCATTTGTGTTCCGAAGATTAACAAAAGTCTTACAGGTTTGGAACTACATGAGGGTACTGAAGCCCTGAACCGCAACGTAAAAAAAAAAAAAAAAATTAATAAATCTAGCATTTCGACTTAACGCTTCGACTCTCGAAATGCTAGATTTTTTTAAACATTTTTTTAAACATTTTTTTTAAGATTAAAGTCGAAACGTTTCGAGATGGAGATATCCAGCTTTATGAAAGAATGAATGAATGAACAAGGCATATATATTTAGCGCTTTTTTATATGTCCACTAGGCCGACACAAAGCGCTTTACAACAATCATATCAGATATTCTCTCCTACACCACCATTATTGGTAATTAAATCTGAGGAAAATCACAGGATAAAAGTAAAAAAGCTACTATATTGTGTTGATCCATGCCAGTTCGACTTCACAAGTGCATTTCTTTACACACACACACACACACACACACACACACACACACACGTGCATGCTCTTAGCCAATGTACACATACACACACTTCTGTGGAAGACTCTATGTTTTGACTTTAATCTCGAAACGTTTCGACTTTAATCCAAAAAAAAGTTTAAAAAAATCGAACGTTCTGAGAACATTAAAGTCGAAACGTTTCAACTTTAATCTCGAAATGCTAGATTTAGGGGTTTTTTTGGACATTTTTTTTTTCTTTTCGTTGTGGTTCAGGGATTCCGCATGAGGGTGATTATTAATGACAGAATTTTTATTTTTGGGTGAAATATCACTCCGGTGTGGCTAATAAAACTAGGGTTTATGAATTCTACATATAGCCCCTTTAACAGTAAAAAAGCTAATAAATATCATACAAGTTGTTGGGCTATTTATTAGTGCTGCCAGTTTTCAGAAATTATTCAAATTAAGTCTGACCATTTGTAGAAACCAGCTTCAAATTCAGCTGGTTTTCTGTGGTCAAGCCATCTACCACCTATCATCCTCCAAAACGCAGCTCGAGCTGGTGATGCTGGTTGACGAGCTGGTCTAACTGGTTTTTCCACGAAGGCAGGTGTTGCACTCGAATATCACAGGACAGTTCGTGTTTCCTCCTCCCTATAGACCAATAACAAAACACACCTGACTTCCCGCTGGGTCTTGCCATCGAGGCTTTAGAAAAGCCACTGAGCGCGTCTATAAATTCAATCGTTTCGATGGGTTTGGTGACAGCATTCACGGACAGCCCGCAGCATCACGCAGCATCACGCAACAATGAGTAACACAGCCATTTCATTCGCCAAGGACTTTTTAGCAGGTGGAATCGCCGCAGCGATCTCTGAGACTGCTGTTGCGCCCATAGAAAGAGTCAAACTGCTCCTTCAGTATAGTACGCTTTATAACGAAGTACTATATCTACATTACCATATACACACGAAATATGGAGGCTATTAGGCCTACATTCTAAATTAGGAAAATATATATTTTTCACACATTTGTCCATCTTGGTTAATTGTAGGCTATTAATTTATGAATAGGGCTTGTCCCTTATAAGATCATGGTTTTAAACGATATATCTGTATCTTATGTAATAAAAATATGTTGGACCAATAATGATTCTGAAATAGGATTCGCCTGGACTGGAGCCAAAACTGTTGCTATGACGCGCATCTGACACAAACTGCGCGCTGTATTTCAGAACTGGTGTTTATGGGATATTTCAGCAAGCATAAACTTTATCATTCAACATGCGTTGTGCTTGTGCATTGTAGACGTTTTCTTGAATTCCTGAATTCAGTTAAACTACTTTTGTGAAAAGAGGTAGGGAGGTTATATCTCTAAATATTTTTGAGCCATTCCACCGAAAAGATGACATTTCTGTCCCAGGATATTATATGTATAAAATTGCATGAAAATTAACTCTAAATACATTTTATTATTAAGCAAAATGTCATGCACATTAAGCTAACTATAAATGTAAAAGTTGTAATTAAAAACATTAATAAAAACGACAGAACACTAAAGAATAGCATCTCTAAACTTTACCATGAATATGATTAAAATCCTTAAGAAATCTGATTCTTCTTGCAGTGTTGTGTGACTTTATATCCAAACCGATCCAAACTGCTTTAAAATGGAAAAAGAAAAAAAAAAAACATTTGATCTAATAGGCTATTTTAGATAAAAGGCACATTTTAGTCATGTCCCCAGGTTTTCACTCAGTCCTGTTACTTTATTTCACTCAGTCCCCCCTCTGAAAAACGTGGAATATTCCACAAGACACATTTTCAACAGTAACTTGCATCATCTGGATCATTTTCATTTCTGTATATTTGATGAAATTGTAACTATGAATGAGAAGGTCAATCTCAACATGCAGTCCTGTAACCTAAACTTTTTCTTAGATTTGTTTATTTAAAAAATATTAACTTTTGGTAAGGCACTAGAAATGGCTCAGTGTCCTCACGCTATTAGCATCAATGCTATGTGGCCATATGCCATATATTTGATAACTTTTTGTTATCAAACTGTGTGATTTTTACCCCCATCTAGTGGTGAAAAGGTATATGACAATCCAGTGAATATTAGTTTCTGTTCCTCTCAATTCCGATTTCGTTTTAACTCCTACGGTGGCCAATGTAGTCCAAGATTAACATGGCTTCCAGTTCGACCTCGTCCATGAGTGTTAACTCAAACGTAAACGCGAAAGGCGAAGCTTGAATTAACGGGTATGTCCCTCTTTGGCTAATGTACTTTCAAGATGGAGAGGCAACATGGCGACCGACATTAGAACCCCTTACCCGTATGTATTTTCAATGGCATATTATACACTCACGAGAATACTTTATTACTTGAACGAAGTAAATATACATTAATGAGAGCATATATTTTTGAAAGAACTAAGTGTTTTTAGCTAAGAATAAACTAAAAGAGTTACACAGGGTAGCTTTAAAAACTCAATCCTGTTACTTTCAGTCCTGTTTCTATTTTTTTCTTTTTCTAAAAAAATAAAACTAAACCACTATTTTTATCAGTTTTGTTTGGCCCATAATTTAAACAATTATTTAATTAATTAATAAAAAAAATTATAAGCATGAGGCTTCGGTTGTCTTTAAAATGAAAAAAATGCTTTTGTGTTTTTTTTTTATCAAAGTTATTGGCACAAATATATTTTTTTTTTTTACATATAGCCAACAATTTTTTTAAGATAAACACTTTCTTGTGGGGAAAACAAAGGAATTAATTGACATGCTTCTAAACTTGCTTTTTAAATGACACATGATTTTCGGTAACAGGATTGAGAAAACATGCGTCCATATTCTGCTTAAACCTTAAAAAAATAAAATGTAAAAAAATAAATAAAGTTGCCTAAGATTGATCAATGCACATGTTGAATAGCCTAGTTAAATATGTGTAGTATTAGATTCAGTGTTGAAAAAGCTTAAAAAAAAGTTTATTTTTGAAGAGTTACAACAAACAAATTCGGTGGAATGGCCCGATTACATTTTTTTTATTTTAGCAAGTAGCCTATACATAATCTGTCAATCAGGTGACTATTTACATTCTAGGTATTTTTCCAAGCTATGAACAAATTATATTGTCAGTATATATAAAATCAGCTTCTTGAAAAAAAGAAGAAAAAAAGAGAGAAAAGATCCCAAAACCATGGGATATAGAATACGTATTTGATTAAGAGTCTTATAGGTAAGGTTCTGGGAATTGACGTTTTCTTCCAAATATAACCCTAATTATAGAATGGCCATGCTTTTCAAAGGCGACCAAAATAAGCAATAATAAATCAATCAGAAGCTTAGAGCTATAGAAATGCATCTTTATTTTACAAATAGGCTTAAACTTAATATTGTGAGTATAGGCTACATATTACAAGTGCGTTAGGCAATTACAATGACAGCAAACAGCAGCAGCATCACATAACAAAACAGATTAGAATCAACACAATCTATTTTTGTCGACTTGCTCAGTTTCCACTGGTGTAAGATCTTTCAAGCACACGGCCTCTATGGGATTCGGTTTAACCTTAGGGCGTGGCTTTAATGAAAACAATCTAAAAATCATAATTTTGGATGGAAAAATTGGCATACAGGTATTGAAATATATTGTAATAACTTGTCATGCAAATGGCGACAAAATCATGCAGACAATTAAAATTCCTAAAATGATGTACTGGTATTTAATTGTTTGAAAAACTGTGCCATTTTCTTCCAGATCCAGCATGCCAGCAAGCAAATCGCAGTAGACAAACAATACAAAGGTATTGTAGACTGTTTAGTACGTATTCCCAAGGAGCAGGGCTTCCTGTCCTTCTGGAGAGGCAACTCGGCCAATGTCATTAGGTACTTCCTAACACAGGCTCTCAACTTTGCTTTCAAGGATAAGTATAAGAAGATTTTCCTGGATGGCGTTGACAGCCGTACTCAGTTTTGGAGGTACTTCGCTGGTAACCTGGCCTCTGGTGGAGCAGCTGGAGCCACGTCTCTGTGCCTCGTCTACCCGCTCGACTTTGCCAGA